AACCTTTTCCACGTTCTTTTTCAGCATAACTTCAGGATATTGCAGCTCACACTCAGGATGGACACGTTTGGACCATCTTCCGGCCTCTAGACCGGCTCAGTTGGAAAGTTCACCCGTTGGTGCATGTTACAAGACTTTGGATTTATCGAGGGAAATTTGTTTCTGATGTCGCTTTCGAAAGAGGGGGAGGAGCCTCATCACTGTGAATATTGTACCTCCTACTGCATTTTTGATTGGTTAATGTTTCTCACTTTTCTTTACTGCTGTGTGGAGTTAGTAAAGAGAGTTAATGCAAAATACTCGCCTCCTGTCATTACTAAAATTAAGATTATAAGTACACTAACGCTAGCATAATCTTCAATTATTGCCTACTGTGGATTTTCTATTTCAGTTTTTAAATGAAGTGGATAAGGAAACATACTGCTTTTGGCTTTGTATTAGATTCCTTCTCCCACAGGTGTTTCAGGATAAGCAATTAACACATTTTACCACTTCAGATAGACTGCAGGTGTTACTGAACCTGTCTGAGTGCCTCTTCCTGGAGAGAAGGAGACCTGTTTTTCCAAAATGAAGCATGGTAATGTTTAACATAATCGTTTGTTCTTTTTGTGTGTATGCATTTATACATGAGATCCATCTACAAAAGTTTTTCTATTGCCAGGCATCCTCTCCCCTCTGCTCGAGATAGGGAAAGTTTTTTCAATTGGTGGCAGTGTTTTACCTTTAGATATATGCTGATTATTATTAGATTATTAGATCATACTGGTTGCAGGAGCACAAATTGGGCTATTAATTGATCCCATAAGTAGGTAACGCTGAAGCCATTACCTGATTTAACCCCTTAAGGACACATGACATGTGTGACATGTCACGATTCCCTTTTATTCCAGAAGTTTGGTCCTTAAGGGGTTAAAAGCTGTTAATATTGTTTTTTCTTTCTCCTGGTCTTAACCTTTTATTCTTCAAATCTGAATTAATTTCCTTAAAGCATAAAATTTATATTCAGTATTCTCTTTTATCCCGTGGATACCTGAAAGTTTGGCAATACCTTTAGTATATGTTAGGGGTGGCATGCTTTCGGTTCTTAAGGAGTTAACGATCAGAAACTTCTGACAGATTCCCCTGTTGTGAAGGGGAACATTATAATTTCCTTTCTGCAATAAAGGTATTCTTTTAGGCTCATATGCTCCAGGTAACTTTGATGCTGTGTATTGCAAGTATTTTAAGGTCTTTCCAGTCCCCAGACCATTCTACCAGGTTTACTATTTCAGGTAAAATTCACCTGCTGCCTGAACAATAGAGGAAATCCCTAAACAGGTAGTTCCATTACGGACCTCTTCTGATATTCATGGGGATTCTTCTAGGTGTCCTTATATCTGGAATTTGCAACCAATGTGTGGCTTTAAATGGTTGATTCATCCTGCATAATGTAATGTAATGCAGCTTGTTGATGACAAACATTTGACTGATATGTTTTACATGGTCCCTGTACCTAGATCGGTATAAGTTATGGTCACTACTAACATTGCATTGATTTAATACTTGTGGATTATATGTTTGGATTGGTGTTGATATCTTGCAGATATAACAAGTTGCTTATTATCACCATAGGCTCTGCCATAAGTACTTCATCACTATCTGAAGATAAGGTAAGAGTAAGTATGAGGTTGTTGTTCTCATAAGCATAACTGAATATCTTCTACTATCCTCTTATTATGTGTCTGTTGCCACAATGTATAATGTGCCTCTGGTTACCACCTTCCCATCAGTATCTTGCCTATTATATATCTCTTACTTATGTTGCACAACAGTCTCTAATAAATTTGATTATACTGTTTGGCATAATCTGTACTATTTACAATCTTTGAATGTAGGTACTGACGTGGTTGGCCTCCTTATAATTTAGTACTTGCCACAAATTCTATGGTTCATACCGATATTTCTTTTCTTTCCCTCAACTAATCTGTATATGATTCTTCTTGCCTTTGCCTAGTAATGTTATTAGTTTATTCATCTCCTGTGGAAAAAAACTGATCGTTGCTGTATCAATTCATCCACTGTGTGAGGTATTGTTGTGAATCTGAATTTTACAACATCGGGTCAATGTTGCAGTGTTTTAATAACACTTATTTCTCTACTAGGCTCTGTCTCTTTCTGACAGGCAGATATTGATTTTGTTCCTGTATCTTCAGGTAAGTAGTTCACAAGTCAAGAGGAAGCAGTGTGAATCGTATTTAATAAATACATCCAGTAAGTAGTAGGATTCTCAGTGTAATTCTCCCTGTGTTTAATAGCATGGTGTGTCCGTTCTCATCCAACATTATCTGCTTGTTCCAGTATGATCTCTGGAAGCTATGCCTTTGTCAAGGTTCTGATTTATTGATATCAATTTGGTTTTAAATTTTTATACCAGAATGACATTTTCCTTCTCTAGCTTATGCTATCATGGCCTTAATTTCTATCTGACACTCTATATTTATTCAGGATATTTCAGATATTGAATGCCAGGAGGTTGCTGACCTTGCAGCCTCTAGGGAAAATTATCTTGTCTGAGCAGATTTTATGATAATTTCCTATTTATTCTTGTTTGGCTTTGTAAAGTCTTCTAAGATTTACAGCTCAATAATGGTTTTATAGCTATTAGCTGTATTTGAACTCTGTCCCTCCCTCATATATATATATATATATATATATATATATATATATTGCTTGGGTATTCCCCATGAGTAAATGCTGCCATGAATAATGGTCAGGAAAAACGAAAATTGTTTCATACTTACCGTAATTTTCTTTTCCTGATAATTATTCATGGCAGCATTACGTTCCCACCCATATACTATAGGAGTTGTGAAGCTAGTTACAAAGACTGCCTGATGGGAAGGGGGAGGATCTATTTATACCAGTTTCAAAGTTCTATTTCCTGTCCTTTCTGCTGTAAGGGGAGGAGCTAACCCATGAGTAAATGCTGCCATGAATAATTATCAGGAAAAGAAAATTACGGTAAGTATGAAACAATTTTCCTTTTTGTATTACACTTTCCTAACACTGTGCACATTTCTGTTGTCACATTTTCTATTTGTTGTAAGGGCACTATCCACTTACGTTTTTTGGTTTCTATCCTCTGTATGAGGATATCCAACGTCAATTAATTCCCTATAGGAAAGCATTCTAGCAATGCTCTCCTATAGGGAGGGCCTAATGCGTTTGTGGTGTTTGCTGCGCATGCGCATTATCGCAGCCATACCGGGCAAAGTTGGAGGCAGTGGAGCTCTTACTATGCCGGAGGGAGGGAGGTTAAATCACCTTTAAGATTACAAGTAGTAAGGAGGTTGTGCGGGGTTTAAGGTTTGTTTGGAGTTATAGGGAATTAAGTGGATACTGGACTGATTAATACAAACATGCAACACTGCGTATTCATTATAGAATGGATCTGTACTGTCTCAGCACAGGCCAGAGCATATATTGTATCCAGCTAGAACTGAAAACACCTTCAGGGATTCTGGTTCACGAACAAAGAAAAGTTTTGCTAAAGCTATTTAAAATACAACATGATGTTATCACAAAATTTCTTAGGATCAGGCCTGCTCATTTTATCCAGATAACTAACGTTGTTCTAAAGTTGTATTGTAAGCCATTCTGTGTTCTTATGTAATGCTCTGAGTAAGGCATGTGTTCTGGGGCTTGCCACAGGTGATTAGCCTGTTTCATCCAGTATACTCATAATTACCAAACATGACAAGTACAGCAGTACACATGTCCCTTCCACAAGTACTTAGACAGGGTTATTACCTAAAATGAGAACTATCGGAATTCAAACTGAATTTCAAATTTAAGGCCAAAGTAGCAGCACAGGAAAAAAAATCTCCAAGGCAGCTATGTCTTTAAATTTGAAAATCACTTTGGATTCCCAAACTAGTAAATAACCCTGAGGGTTCAACCATTGCCTCCAACCAAATAGGCTCCAACAGAATTCATTACAATTTGTATGACCTTGTTTATGAAGATGAGCAACTTTTACCCATCTGTTTCACAACATCGTTAAATGGCAGCATTTCCAGCAAAGCTAATGTTCAATAGTATGTAGCAAATAAGTAATGTCATGCATTATACAGGTTTATTTATAGAACAGATTTTATATACCAAAATAGCACTGCCAAGTATACAAACTGGGAATAAATAAAGAGAGATGGTTGTGGGGAGAAAATCAAATTGTGAAGGAACAGATACTAAGAGACAGTCTAGAATGCCTAATTATTTCTCCCTTTGTCCTATAATCCTCTCTCTCTTTTTATTGCATTGCTACGAATAATTTGTTTGGCGCAAAGGGAGGTAAACACAGGAGAAAATGCTAAGATACTCTATTATTTCTTCAATATGACAATTTTTAATTAGCGTCTCCAATAATCCACATATGTAGTAACTTTTTGTGTGCCACTGTATTAAATCCACTGGTATTTTCTAGCATAGGAGTACAGATAAGGTAAACTGTAACACTATGATCTAGATTTTTATTCCTGCTGACTTTGCGTCCTTGACAAGCAAGTCACGAAGATAATTTTGTCTGACCTTGTTAAAAAGCCAAACAGATGACACTGCTTGCCCAGTCTGTGGCACTGGTTTGAAAAATCCAGAATTTCCAGGCAGGACCTCATAGAGTTCCTAGCAACTGACATAGTGCTGTTACACGGATTTACATAGAGGAAATATTTACAATACGTTCCAGCAGGTCAGCGTCTCCCTCTGACATCATTATCCAATTGGTCTGATAATCTCAATGTGTTTATCTGTGAGCCGCTCTAGGAAAGGAGCCATCCATGCCGGGATTATACTGTCTAACAATGGTCAGAATGAACAACTCTCTCTGTCCTCGTGTTACATTGCTAACCTGAAATCATTCATTATATCTAATGTCCTCTAAAACGTGCACACACAAAAAAATATACAAAGTAAAACAAATAAAAAGGACAGTCATTTATTTATTTTGTGCATACATTGAGTGTCTATACTGTACACATACATACAAAAATAACATTGTTTATTTGTACTGTTTTATGCCATCTGGTAAGAAGTGTGCATATGCAGCATTACATGCAAATCATGGGATAATGGCAACAAAACATGTGGCTCGTGTTCCAGGTCTGGGAGAAGAGATAGTAGGAAGATTCCAATTTCCCAGATTAATTTCCTATTTTTATTTATAAAGATCCTAATAATCCTTTATTTACCTAATGTTGTTCATCTCTATGGCCTATATCTTCTCATGCTAATGCATATTCATGCAGATCCCAACCATGGGGCATATACATTCACACTTGTTTTCAACTACACATTAGTAGCTTCTCCGCATATATCAGTTTTTCAGCCTCTATTCCATCTTCATCGTAGTTAATGTTGTATGAAATTGAAGTCTCTCTGAGATAATATAGCTAGGTCCCAGAGAGATTGTGGTGAGACCAAACACAATAAAACTAAACACATATTCAAATAACAGTAAATCTAAAGTAGAAATAGCAATGTACTAAATGTCAGGAAGGGTAGCGTCCCAACATACAAATCTAGGGAAGCTAGTAAAATAGAGCATATTACTAGTTCTTAGAGCTGGCCGAGCTTAACATTATAACACAAAGCAAGAATCATCCTAGGATAGGACTAAGGGCAAGGGATAGAGTAAACAGAACGGTAAGACAACTAGAACATGGCACACATTCGCTTGCAGATCGAGTTGATACAGACCTAGAATCAGACCTCATATAAGGTCTCCAAGGCCAGGTGGTGGAAAGGCGGCATCAAGGCCAGCCCACCGGGAAATTTCACTGTAGAGCGCAGATCTGTCGCACTAATATATAGATTTTAAGCTTACTTGCACCTGTTCGAGTGGGACGTCTCTTTGGCCTTCGTATTTTCATTATATGTAAGTGTGGAACAAGCACCATAATTTTCTCCACACACCAAAGGGGAAGTCAGAATGGAAGACTCCACAAACGGATGGAGGTAACAGGCTAGAAAGAGGGGGGGGAATGGGGTAATCTGTGTCTATTCACATTTGTGTTTGTTTTAATATGTATGTCTGTATGACTGTATGTATATGTTTCTTTACGAACCGGTCTCTGTATTTTTGTTTGTCTGACTGTGGCTGTATGTGTGTGTGTTTATATGCTGTGTGGCACACGATTAGTTCTATTGCTGTGGAAGTCTGTGATACAATCATACACATCACACATTGCTGCGAATTTTATTGAACATTTCAGATGATTAAAAGCAGCAGGCTGGATTTTGATTCCCTTTTTTTCAATTGCTCTTGTATAGTTATCCCGAGTTCCTGGCTGCTCAGCATTTACTTTTACATTATGGAAACTGGCATTGGTTCAGTAGAGAGGATAAATCCAGTCCTGGAAATGCCAAAACATCATTGGCTTGCAACGCTATATCTGCATCATCTGGCTAGTCCAGTTTCCTTTATCAGTATTGCCAGTGGAATGTAGCAGAGCATTACAATGTGTACTAGAATGACACATACAATGAGCAGGAAACCTGACACTAAGACATATTTCAAACATAAACCTGCCATATTAGAAGGATGCAATATACATATACATGTGGAACAATGACTTGAAATCAGTTTGTCTTTACAAAGGCTAAATTGGATGCTGGTTCTTTTTCGCCTCAGTGCTCCTTGCACCTAAATATTAAATATTTATGCGCCAATAAATGGGAGAAGTTCACAGCATCTGCAAGGTGTCCTAATGTGATGTATCTCCTTTCCTTCTGTAATGACACTGGATTAACTTTCATTGTTTTTAGCTCTCAGTTTCTAGTTTGCTGAGCAGTGTCAGCATGGTCTGCTCAGGATTCAGGTGACCCTAATATATAATAATCCAATAGAAGGTTATGCCCGAAGGGTAGCATGATCAAACACATGCAAACCACTGAACAAGTAGGCCAGGTCAGATAATAGCAAAGTCATGTCCTAAGAAACAGAAGGGAAGAAACTGTAGCGTTACTTACCTTAACCGGGGGCCGGTCGCGGTCCTCTCTTCAAGCCGCGCGCGGTCCTGCGGCTGCACGAGCCGCGCGCGGCTCATCCAACTGCTTTGGATGGAAGGCGGGCAGTGACCGCGTGAGGCGGTCACGTGTCCCGCCTGAAACTAAGAGCGCGCCGCGAGTCTCGGGCGCGCTCTTAAAGAGACAGTGGGAGCCTAATTGCCAAAAGGCTCCCATTGGCTCCTGTCATACCACACTCCCTGTACAATTACCTATAGGGGGTGTGGAAGTGACAGGAGCCAATCACTTTCGTTTTAAAGCTATTTAAACTTACCTTTTTCCCTTAGCTCGTTGCCCTATCGTGGTTTCTGTTTCAGTTCCCTTTAGCGCTTGTGGTGTTCAGTTGTGTTTTCTCGTATTGACTTTGGCTTCGTATTCTGACTTCGTTTTCGCTTTATCCTTATCTGTACTGTTTGCCGGCTTGCTGTTTTCCGTGTACCAGACCCCGGCTTGTCCTAGTTTACGCTGTCTCTCTGTGCCCTTGACCTCGGTTTGTTCCTGGCTCTGTCTCCTCTCATATACGTCGAGTCCGGCCATTCTAAGGTCCGGTAGACGTATCTCTCCTCTGTATTTGCCTCTGTTTAGCTGGATCCTGCGTGTAGGGGTATATTCTCGTTACAGAAACAATCGTGGTCCAGAATTCGGAGCAGGTTTTATACAGCACAAAATAATTATTTTCCGATCCAGAATTGAGTGCAAAGAGCAAAATTAAATCATAGGGAGACTGCTACAAAGATGAAGTGAGGCAAGGCTCGTTACTAGAATATTAGATAGAATCCATATCTATAAATGCGAGTAATCTGCAGAGGAAAAAAAAAAAAAAAAAAATCGAGATCAAGAACAGAGTCAGCTGCACATGGCAAAGAGTATCAAAATCCAGATTTGGCAGTAAACTGAACAGGCCATGTAATCATGTAAACAGGTCATCTGGTGGTCATGTAAACCTACCCTGAATGCAGAGTAAAAACAAGTTGAAATTCTAGCTTTGTAAAGAACCTTTATGTTTCTTACTGAAGTTCAATGTTAAGACAACTCTAGTTCACAAAAATCTGGGTTGTCAAGGTTAGCGGTAAATTAACTAAAGAAATGAAAATGAAGCTGTCATTTTACTCAAATTTACTTATTCTGTAGCCGATGGCAGCTTCACTGCAATTTAGATAGGGAAACAGAGATTTATTATCATATGCAGAACATATGCACGCCATGCATATCAATCCCTAACAGAAGCAAGAAAAGCATTTGGAGATTAGAGACAGTGAATTTGGCAGCATAAGCTTAATGATGAGCCAGACAAAGTTAGTAGCCGATTTAATGGCATAATAATGACACAATTTATTGTTAAGTTAAATAGGATGTGTATAGATAAATAAAATAATAATATGCATACATGTAGTTATACTGTTAACACATCAATGAGTTAGTACTCTCGGTACGAGATACTGGCGAATAACAAGCGTGCAACATATATGAAGTAATAAATCATATATTTAAAGGGACAATATAGTCACCAGAAAGACTACAGATTATTGCAGTTCTTGTGAGTATAGTCTGTTCCTTCCAACTTTTTTTTAATGTAAACACTGCCATTTCAGAAAAAATTGCTTCAGTGCATCTTTATGAGGAGATGCTGTTTGCCAGGGGGGGCGTTTGGCTCTGCCCACCACCCTGCTTTCCTTGCTGAGATCTAAGAATTGACTATTTTAGCCAATCCGATGCTTTCCTATGTGGAAGCATTGTGATTGGCTGAGATCATCAATTCTGATGATGTCAGCCAAGGGGCCGGATCAGGGGGCCACATGCAGTCCCACATGGTGCTGTAAAAAGTTGAGCAAGTCTAACCTGAGGTTAGAGGGTGCACTTTCTTTTTCCCATCACTGTACTTGAACAAAAACTGAAGGTTTCCGTGCTTGATCTTTTTCAGGATAATGAAACGTAAATCTTTCAACCAGATTCAGCTCCTTATCATATTGTTGCTGTGTGCATAAAGTGGTTTCAGGAAAATCATATTACACTGCTAGAAAGGCTAGGTAATAGTTTTGACCTGAATCCAATTGAAAATCTGTGAAACCGATTAAAGAAACTTGTTAGTCAGAACCAACCAAGGAATAAAAGAATCACAATATGATGTTTTTTCTGTGTATAAAGTCTTAATAAGAGTCTCAATAAAGTGTGCTACATTACATTCTACATTAAATGATCTTTCTAATGATGTATAATTCTTTGGTATTATTCTAAAAAAGACTGACATTATGAGCCATCAAACATCAAAAATGCAATCTCTCGGGGCGGGGCCTGACTGCCATGCCTGCAAGACGTGTCCTGCATGAGATCCAGGCAATAGCATGCATATCGGCAGTTTTTGGGTCTATTATTGTACTCAGAGGCCCTGACCTTTTAAAAATATTTTGAGTGGATACTCTCTGGGCAAAAGCTCCAATTACTCTGCGGCCTGGTCTACACCGAGGAAGGGAGAGGCAACCGATCTTCCACCTGGAATGACCAGAGCTGACTTAAAAGGAGCACTATAGGGTCAGGAACATAAACATGTATTCCTTAACCTATAGTTTTAAAACCACCATCTTGCCAAGCTGGTCCCCTCATGCTTCCCTAAATATAGTAAAATCTTACTTGTATTCAAGTCTGGAGCTGCTTGCTTTGTCCCGGTTTCCTTTAGACCTTCCCACTGCCTGCTAACATCAGCAGAAGTGCTAGCCTGATCCATTCAAAATGCTTCCCCATAGGATTGGCTGAGACTGACAAAGAGGCAGATATGGGGCAGAGCCAGCACAATCAAACACAGTCCTGGCCAATCAGCATCGCCTCATAGAGATTCATTGAATCAATGCATCTTTATGAGGAAAGTTCAGTGTCTGCATGCAGAGGGTGGAGATACTGAATGTTTGGATGCATTTTATGCAGCCATGACCCAGGAAGGATCTCTAACAGCCATCTAAGGAGTGGCCAGTGAAGTTATCACTAGGCTGTAATGTAAACACTGCATTTTTAGACAGTGTTTACAGCAAAAGGCCTGAAGGTAATAATTCTACTCACCAGAACAAATTCAATAAGCTGTAGTTGTTCTGGTGACTATAGTGACCCTTTAAGGGATCTGCTACTAATGTCTTAGTGGTGCCAGATAACACAGGACACATGCAGAGGTATCATGGAGTCCATATCTCCAAGCATCAGAACTGTTTTGGCAGAGTAAAGGGGACCTACATGGTATTAGGTAGGTGGTTTAATGATGTGGCTGATCAGTGTATATGGATAAGTCTTTGGTTTTATCTGCAGTTGAAATACATGTTTCTATCATCCAAAGTCTCATAATTGTCACCTAAAATACTCTAAACTCATTCCCAGAGAAGATCTCTATTTAAAAAACACAAATATATGATCCAAAACATATTATAAAAAAGAAAAAGAAAAAAGAAATAAACCAGCTATTCTAGAACAGCATATGGGTCTGACTTTCTGCCTCCACAGAATGTGAGTAAAAAGTTCAAGAAGGCATGAAAACAAATGTTTACTCATTGCACATCTCTGCCTACTATAGCAAAAGTTGGATTTAAAAATACCTCAAGATCCCCATGTAAGTAAAATACAAAGGCAGCGCACACATGGACCATCTGAACCTCATTGCAGAATCTGTTCTAAAATTCACACTTGTCATGGTAACTAAGATATAAGCAGCTCAATGCGGTTCTTGACAGAACTTGCTGTTTCCTCAAGAGCATATGTTTAGCTCTCATCAAAAAGAGAATATATAGTGCAGTGACTGTTTAATAGCCAACAGATATAATGTGGTACAGAGAAGAAAACGGTAAGGAAGCATATATAGATATACATACACAACAAGAACAATATTAACAGGAAAACAGAAAATACCACAGCACCACCATTACCTAACTAGTAACAAAAGAAAAGCGTGACATTTACAAAATACAAATTAATAATGTTTGTTTGTATTTAAAAATATCGTAGGAGAGTCAGATCAATATTTTAATTCTGTATTAAAAACAGATGACATTATAAATCCTTGGTAATATATATATTCTGTATACATTAATCAGCCACAACATTAAAACCACCTTCCCAATATCGTGTAGGTCTCCCTCCTGCTACCAAAACAGTTCTGATGCATTGAGGCATGGAAACCACAAGACCTCTGAACTTGCCCTGTGGTATCTGGTTCCAAGACATTACCATCAGATCCTTTAAGTCCTGCAAGTTGTGAATTGTGGGGCCTCTGGGTATCAGATTTGTTGTCCCAGCACATCACACTGAAGCGCCATTAGATTGAGATCTAGGGAATTTGGAGGCCAACCCAATACTTTGATATCTTTGATATGTTCCTCAACCCATTCCTGAACAATTTTTGCAGTGTGACCGGGTGCATTATCCTGCTGAAAAAGGTCAGGGAACACCATTGCCATGAAGGGATGTCTGTAGTCTGCAGGAAGTGGTATGTATTAGAGTAACATGCACATGAATGCCAAGACCCAAGGTTTCCCAGCAGAACATTGCCCAGAGCATAACACTATCTCCGCCGGCCTGCCTTTTTTTCATAGTGCATCCTGCTCCCATACCTTACCCAAGAAAATGACACACAGGCATGGGAGGGCTGTCAGCCTCAGGCCTGGGGGGCAAATCCAGTCAAGTGACCCGTTGCACCCCCGAATCAACTCACCATCCATGCCCACCTTTTCCTTTTTTTATAACGGATATTGATGTTATGCTAATCAGTAGCTCTTTGCCATACCCAGTCCTTTGCGGCTCTGACTTTCAATGTTGTTAGAGCGCAGGCTGAGAAGCTCTGAGCCTGTGCTCTGACTCACTAACTGAGCATCGGAAGCACAAGGGAGAGGATATGATCTAAGGCAACTACTGCTGGTGCGCACCAATGGCCCACCAGGGAATCGTTTAAATTAAATATGCAGGTGTCCCAAACTTATGAGCTGTGTTAGGCGCCGGGCGCCTCTGTTGTCATGGCGCCCTACGTGACCCCACAGCTTGCACACCTCAATGGCTAGCCCTGCTGACAGACACACTGGAACTCAGTCTTAATAACACACACACACACACACACAAACCCTGACAGACAAACACTCACTAACAGGCAGACACATACACACACACTGACAGGCAGACACACATTCACTGACAGACACACTCGCTGACACACACACTTACTGACAGACACCAGCGCCATATTAACAACATTATAGACCCCCGGGCAAAGCAGTGCACTGGGGCCCTGCCTACACAACTTACAGGAATAAAAACGTAAATTATATATACAACGAAGATTGTATTTATAAGTACCTCCAACAAATGCAATGCATACATACAATACATACACACAGACTGCAGAATACAGTCACACACCGACTGCTGAATACATACATGCATACAGACTGCTGAATACACACACACACACACTGCAGTGAGGGGTGCAGTGTATGTGTTTGTGTATACGGGTGCGGTGTGTGTGGAGTGCTATGTGAGTGTGGGGTGCTGTGTGTGGAGTGCTATATGAGTGGGGTGCTGTGTGTGTGTGGAGTGTTATATGTGTGTTGGGTACTGTGTGTGTGTTTGAGGGGTGCAGGTAGCAAATTATTTTTTTCTTTTAGTACTACTATACATTAAATAAAATCTATATGTCCCCCCCACCCATCTTCTTACCTTTGGTGAAAGAGGCTGGGACAGAGCCAGCCCTGGTGGTCCAGTTGTGAATTCTGTACAGCCTGCAGCTTGTCTGGCTGCAGGCTGTCTTCTGTCCTCCTGCACGCAGAATGCTGTGTGGAACATTGCCATGGTAATGCGCGGCAACGCTCCACACAGCCTACTTGCGGGAGGAGCGATCTGCCTTACAGGTCGGCCTCTCCTGCAGCCCTGGGTCCTAGCTACTTCTCTCCCCGATCGAAGGGAGATCTCCCTCACTGGCCCACGGCCAGAAAACAGGGCCACCTGTCCATTGGCCGGCAGGGGAGATCAAATGATCTCCCCTGTCGGCCGGGCATGTGCTGGGCAGCGCGGTAGGGTCCCCATGCCTGTGGGGCCCACGGGCAACTGCCTAGTGTGCCCGTGCGGAAATACAGCCCTGACACACAAACTTCCACACACACACAGTTCCAGACACACACAGTTCCAGACACACATACAAATTAATTCTATTTCTTGTTACTCCTACCTTTAGGAGTCCTCTCCCCGGGGTCCAGTGTCTTCGATGTTCTTCCTGCTCCTCTCTCCTCCCTCACGCAGTTTAGTGATGCGCGGCCAGAATTACGTCATATTACGGCTCCCGG